GTGGCCACGCCCACTGAAAAATATTGCTTCTTAGATTCCCGAATACACGTTAACTGTGACAGCATAAGCATAACCTAATTTTTTTTGCTTCGAAGTTTTTGAATGGGGGTGGGGGGGGGGCCGCAAGCCCCATGGATACGCCACTGTTGAGATAGGCCCCAGTCCAATTCGCATTTTGCATTCAACAGTCATCGACTTAACGACCTGGTCAATAGGAAAACATACATTTACAGTGCCTAAATTTAGGGTAGGCTTAATACCAGGGCAGATCGCGAGTTATAAAAATGTATCATCAAATAACATATATAACAAGAACCATTGCAAGAACACGCACTTTGTACAAAACTGTAATATTAATTATAATTTCTCCTGCAAGAAAGAAAGGCCCAAATATGACCATATGGACCGAGTAGGCTCACTCACAGCACGGCATCCTTATAATGTAATGTTATCAGTGCGTGTTCATGTTTACTTACAGCTCAAAGGATCCTGGCAACAGTCAAAAAGGCCAGATGACCACGCAGAGTCTCCTTCAAGTCTGACGTACTTGTTTTCCTGTGAATAAATAAATAAATATTTTCCAAACCAATAAACATACCGTACTGCCCCTAAAAAATAAAACAAAATGAATTGCATAATTTGAATTTTTCAACAAGTTATTATTGCAAATCATATTGAAACTAAACTGTATTATACGTACGACTAAATGAACATTGCTCGCTGTAACCACCTGCGGCTGAACACTTATAGGATGCTGGACGTTGCCTGGGTACTGGTTTGGTTGATTACCAGCCGGGTAATAAGCTTGTTGATGTTGGTCCATCTTGAGCGGGAGTCTTGTAAATTAAGACATATACAATAGTAATCTATCAATAACAGTGGCGAACCCAGGAATTTGAAGAGTGGGCCCAGCCCCACCATGGTTGGGGCTGATTATGGCACCTGATGGCCGGAAATGGCATTATTAGACTTAAATTTGAATATATAATTTTCTTTTTCTGCCATTTTTTTTTATTTTGAAAAATTTAGGGGTGGGGAGGGCCGGCTTCCCCCTTAAATCCGCCTATGAATAAAAATCAATAAGCATACCACAACACGCTGCTGCTGCTACTACTACAGTACTACTATTTACGAGTTCGATACTGTAATGTGTCTCTCAGAGAGACACAAGAGATGAAGGACGGGCGAAACTAATTTGAGCTCTGGCGCCACCGATTTAAATTTCTACGCAAATGGACACATTTAGAATTAATATATTAACAGATTTAAATTTAATAATTTCAATACTACTATTATAATAGTAAATAAAGTAGATAAATATTAATAAAGTAGATAAATAAAATATTTTGGTCGCTCACCAACATTTCTATCAGGTGTTTAATGGGTTTATTAATAATATGATCTGTAACCATATTATTGTAAAGCCTCAGTAAAAGGGGTACATTTGGCAAAATACAAATTGCTTGATACACATTTTTTAATGACACTGTCCTAAAGTCATTTTTTCACGGCGCATACTTTGCTGTGAATGCCACATTAGGGAACGCTACTGCTCTCAGGAGTCCCTGACGGTCCGCTTCAAAACCATCCCCCACCCCTAGCGTGATGCCAATGTAACATTTTCATCACAGTGATTTTAATATTCCTTAGCTTACTACTCCGGTTTCATTTAGTGCTCCAATTCGGACTTTTTACTAGAATACAAACAATTTCTTAACCTAATGTATTTATTAATATAATGTTACAAATTGAGCAAATTGGACTAAGCCAAATGCCAAAGGTTATCAGTAATTTTTGCAATAATAGCAACTACCGTTAAAACATGAAATAATTTAGCTAGTTACTTACAGTTGTAAAAAAAATCGTATCGTTCAACAGTGTATGAAATCCTGTATGGATTCTCTTCACAATCTCTTGAGCAAACATGGACTTTATCCAGATTTCACAAAGGTCGTGCTGTGATCACATGGCATCTCATTTGACCTCTGGTGTTAACCACCGGACTCCATGCAATTCAGACCCATCCAGGGGTGCGATGGGATACATATATTGTTTTTGAAAATTGTTTTCTCCCCGACGAATTGTGGTTTTTTTCTACGACGGCGGAAGGGGGGAGGGGGTGTGAGAGCATTACACCCACCCCCACCCGGTAGCGCCGCCACTGCGGGATAAAGAATTTATTTTTCGTAATAAGGAGTAACAACTGGGAATCTTAAAAAAACTTTATACACCCCTGCAAAATGACAATCCTAGATACGGCCTTGCAACAATAGGACTATCAGACCAAATGTAATTGATCAAGACGAAGTCTTCTCTAACCATTACAGCTCAGGGGCAGATCCAGAGATGTCCGAAAGGTGCCAATCGAGAGACCACTATACCTTTAGAGGATCGAAGACATTTATGATTTCTAGACGCCCGGAAATAACCTCTGGTGCGTTTTGGGCAATCAGTAATTTCTTTTCCTTTCTTTCCAGCACCCCCCTCCCCCTTTTACAACTTCAGTTATCAATCAACTGGCAGCAGCATAGGAAGACGTGGCACATAGCCCCAACACTGAGTGCACCAAACATCCATACTCTTACAAATTCACAATGATAGGCGATACTGCTTTCATAGAAATTTATTGAGAAACAATATTCAAAATAGTATGTAGGCTTAAATAGAAGCTTCAAAAAGAAATTGCCCGAGACACCTGAAGCCTAGGAGTATTAGCAGTAGCAATATTTTTGGTGGGAACAGGGGAGACACGTTCCCCCCACTTTTCAAAGTAGGGGATCGATTGTCCCCCCCCCCCACTTTTCAACAATCTTCTATAATTAAAACCCCACTTTTAAAAGCGAATGGAAAGAATAATTATGCATGATTCATGAATTTTGTTTGTTCAGTTTTCCAAGTGCGGTACGTATTTTGCGGACCAAAACCGAGTAAAAACGCAATTGTTTATACAGTTAGTAACCATCTCAGAAACCACTAGATCGATTTTATGGGTACAGCGGTTATCAGAGGCTAAATTTATTGTGAAAACAATGTACTGAAGAAGTTGTTAAAATTGGAAACGTGTATGCTTATTAGGCCAATATTTTTACTCAAACTCAAAAGTGCACAATTTCTACAAACGATTTATTCCATTTGTATATTATTATGACCCGTACGTATATACTAGTGTTTAATATTATCTACATACATAGGATTACTGTTTTTCCTAATTTAAAAAAAATATAGTTTATTGAATTTTATATAGCCATTAATATTAAATAATAATTATACAGCCTTTGACACGGACATGTCTATCTATTTAGATTTAGTGATACCACAATTTTACAAACTCCAGTGTTAGGTTGACGCAATATCGCAATGACGTCATAATAATCAGTGGCGGATCCAAGTAGGGCCGAGCCGACCCTAAATTTTTCAAAATTATTTTTAAAAAATGGAAAAAACAAAGAAAAAATTATAATTAGAATTTAGGTCTGAGAGTGCCATTTCCGGCAATCTAGAGGTGTCATAATCATAGATTTTCTTTCTTCAGCCCCAACCATGGTGGGGCTGAGGTGATCTACTCTCCCAAATTGTACAAGTCCCTCCCTGCCCCCCTCTATTTTGCTTTCCTCCCGGAGCCGCCACTGATAATGATAAATTAAGTAAATCACGTTTATGTTTGTGAAATCAAAATGCTAACTAATGTTTTGTGTGCTCCCTATCTCCATAGTCCTGTTTGGTCGTAAATTAGACGGTATGATTTCCACTCACAATAGTGTAGTCGCAATATTGCTTACACAAAAGTGAAATTCAAAAAGAGGAGCAAAAACCTCTTAATTGATTTTAAAAGTACTGTACATGCAAAAAGACTAAATCAATAACTGCTTAATCACTAGATAATAAATCATTATTTTTATGAATGTTTTGCACGAAATATATAAGCGGGCATAATTATGACTAAAAGGATAATTATAAAACCTTTTATGATGAGTATTTCAGTAGCAGATTCAAGGGGCCTTATCCGGCTCACCATCCCTAATTTTTTCTTTTTTCGAAATTTAAAAGTGATTTAAAATGAAAATTATATTCAAATTCAGTCTGAGAGTGCCATTTCCGACCAACTAGAGGTGCCATAATCATAAATTTTCTAAACTCTCTCCATCTGCAAAAGTCCCTCTCTGGGCTCAGCTCTATTTTAAATTATTGGATCCGTCACTGGATCGGTAGAATCGGGCCACAAAACAAAAACACGGTTACGGAATGCACATTCTTTATACGGTTCGCGTTCAGAAAACGCGTGTTTTGTGGTACACTTTTCAGCTGCAATGCAATACTGTGTTAGTCATGACCCGTCGGTGACCCAAATTGACCTCTTCGTTGGTTTGATCGCTCGTCTGCGGGAAATTTGGGGCAAAGAAAAAAATTAAACCAGGATGACATGCTTGAACATCATACCATACTTTTTTTCATAGCAGCTTAGCTCAGTCGGCTAATCTGGTGGTAGTCACTGTGTGCGCTGAACCGTGGAGATCTCTAGGTCCCCGGTTCAATTCCCATCGCTGCCTCTCGTTGTGTTTCAGCTAGAGGGCTGAAATACAAGTTGCAATAGCGCACCGTCTTTCGGTTGAGACGTTTAAGCCGTTGGTCCCGTGTGCATTATGGCCCATGTGCAGTACACAGTAAAGAGTAGGCGATTGTCTCCCGGTGTACTGCCCAATCACCACCAGAAGGACTCCACTGTAAATAAGTCTTCCTTTAGACTTTCGTGGGCTATCCTTGGTGTTTACACCGAATGAATCCAATCCATACTTTCGTGGTGTGTTGTTTACTTCTTTCGCAGCATGCGCTGTAGCTCGCAAGAAGTAAGATCAGCTTCAACTTCTGTTGGTGACCGTCATAGCTCCGCCCACCTGCCAATGCTCGCATTACCATGTTTTTATTAGTTGCACTATTCACTAGAAACGCGTTCAGAAGGAATTTAACCGTTTATAAAAAAACACATGTTTTTGGTGTTATTCAGCAGAAACACGCCCACATTTCACACGGAAACAAGGGCTACCATAAATTTACCATTTGACTGAGTGGCGAAACTACAGGAAACAAACGAACCTGAGCGGCTCCTTTATTTTTGATATAGCGCCGCCAAGCGGACGGGGTAATATTGCTCTCTGTGTACCCACAATGCATTTCGAATGGATGTTCCACTATATTGGGAAGCTGCTCTATCTTCTGCTATTTGTTATCTTTGCTTAAACGTCTCATCCAAAAGACGATGAGTTATCGTTATTTGCATCATGATTTCAGCCCTCCAGCTGAAACAAAAGGAGAGCATCAGATGGGATTGAACCAGTGACCAACTTTAAAGGATCTCCACGGTTCAGCGCACACACAGTGGCTACCAACAGTTATGTAATACAGCACATGAATGTTAAATCGTAAAGAACCAACGGGCCATATATAAAAAATATGTTACAGCATATATACATATATAATACACTTGAAAAAAAAAAAAAAAAACGTTCATGAGCATTTATCGCTATATTGCGAAAATTTAACCATCACCTCTGTTATTACAGTAATTTAAATAGTATTTACTATGATTTTATAACTGCGACCTACTAGCTAGTTTTACAGTGGCTTAACTACCTGTGAGCGTGAAAGCCATTAGCACCTGGGGTTAGATCTGCGCCATATAGGCCTACTCATACAAATGCCACGGCTTCATAAGGAACAAATAACATGAAAAACAGAGATGTCCTTAAAAATATAAAATACAAATAATTAAAACATGAATTCTTTAAAAACTTAATATAAATGAATAGCTTCCGCAAGATCAACGAGGTAGTCCTACGTGTTTATTGCGACATTTATTTTTACCCTAATGGCCGCACATCAATTTCAGTTAGTCTCTATTGCACCTAATAGGAAAAAATTAGCCAACCAATGTTCAAATGTATCAGTGATACTGGAAGAACAAGTCAGATCACTAGAGAGAAGAAATCATTTTGTGTATACAGAAATTAACAGGTTTAATTAAAAATATTTTTATCATGTTTCTAATGGATGAATTATACTGAAAACAAGCATCATTTAATCACATGAATTATTAAACTATTTGTTGTGGTATACAGGAGTCACAGTATAGGCTTATAGGCTTATCTAATGATCATGCCACGGTAACGATGCTTTAATTATGTTTAGCACTTGTCGACATGCAGTTGCAAAATACCTTCACTGTGTAGCCAGAGTAATTCTTTAAATTCGTTATCAAAATCATGTGCGTGTATCTTAAGTTTGAGGTTTTCGTAGTAGTGGTAGGAGAGTGAACGGTTGTGTAGGTCTGTATAAAATGGCCAAAATCCATAAAGATGAATCTCTTCGCAAAATGTAAGTGCTGATAGTATCATATAAAAACCTGTTAAGAACAAATAAACAAAACACTTTAGTAATAACATTTTTCCTTGATGTAAGTTTACTTTGTCCCTAGGCAGAAAAAAAGTAACCTAAGCAGGTTCCCACTAGGGACGCAGCGCAATTAATATCAATTATCAATATTATATTATTAAAAAATAGATTGGTGGATTTTATGATCTTGGTTTGGGTATAATTTGTCATCACCAACACTGGTATTCAAGCTTTCTGATACGGCGAACGTACTGTTTATACATATTCAAGCTTGGTTACCTTGGAAACCAGCCTCCATTAAACTAATTTGCTCATTATATTGGAATAAATGAATTCTATATCGATTGAAACATCAAATTCACAAGAGGCAGTCAATCACTATTATTAATCAAGTTGTGCAGAGAAGGATCTTATTTAAAGAATAAAAATACTTCATAAAAAGAATTGTTTACTTGTATTTTTGTACATGTTTATTTGGCATGATTCAAGGTCAGAATACTGTCAGCACCTTGAGGTGATTCTATGGTGCAAGGCGCTCTACAAATATACATATTAGGTGAAACAGAAATCAAGGGCGTATCGTATGGTTTCAACAATGAAAGAGTGATGAATTAATCTTTAAATGCAAAAACAAACTCTTCGTGAGTGCCTTATGAGCGCTCACAGGTAAGGGCTTCGAGTACTGTAAGCCTACTGACGGCAAACATAATACTCATATGGTAGTGTTTGTTAAATGATTTAGCTATCTGAAATGTTGTAAAATAGAAATAGAAATTATATATCATTTAAAACGAAAAAAAAATAGAATCCAATAATTGAAAAAAAGGACTTATACGGAGAAGCTTTCGATTACACGACGACCGCCACGTTGTGCAGGGAACCGTGACGGTCGCAGAATGGCAAGTGAATCCGTCATTCTAGTGTTACGTGGTCGGAAGCCCCCTTCCATCTACCACACCTCTACTAACCTGACGAGAGCGTTTTATTAACATTGCTATTACTCTTCCAGTAGCGGCTCATCTGTCTAAAATGATCCGGATTTCCGTTCAGCACCTTTATTCTAGATTGGCGATGTATTAGCTCACTAGCCTTGAGACATATAAAAAAGGGGTAAGGGTGCGAGAGACTTGGAAACCAAATATAGTTTTTGTATTGATTTATTGATTTTATAAACGAGTTCTGGTCATTTCTTTTCAGCAATCGTCCAAATCTTAAACAAATAAAAAACGGGTAAATTACAGTATTATTTTCATGCAACACAAAATATATAATACAATAGTACGCTAATATTGTAATAATTACATAGTACTAGTTGATTCTTTGAATTATTTTCAAAGGAAACTGACTGGAATGAATGCTAATGGGTAAAACATGCTTCAGACATGCAGAAAGTCCCCACGCAATTCTAATGTGGGAAACAACTAAATCACCTAAAACAAATTTACTGGATTTCTGCGAACTACCGTTTCGGGTCATATAACATATATTCCGCTCTTCGACACAGCCACGGGAAACATCTAACATCAGAACATGATGCATCTTCTTCGCCCACACGCGCACCCCCGTAGATACGCCAATGTATAACACAGTTTAGTAATCAAAACATTTCAATTTTTCTTTAGGCCGGGCTTTAGGCACCATATTGCTCATTTTCCACGATTTCTATGATAATTATGAATATAAATAATAGAAAGTGTTTTCAAGAGGAGGCCTATATATAAACAATTTATTAGAACAGAGGTCGGGTTGTCAGGGTAGCAAAGCTAGAATGGAAGTGGTCGACATATCAAAAGGTGCGCTACCACATAGGCCATGATAGGAATCAGTGGCTGATCCAGGAATTCGAAATAGAGGGGGCCCAGGAAGGGAATTTTGGTTTTGGTTGGGGCTGAGGTTGGGGCTGAGGTAAGAAAATGTATGATTATGGTACTTCTAGAGGTGGTCGGAAATGGCACTCTCAGACCTATATTTGCTTAATATTTTCCAATTTGCTACAATTTTTTTTATAATTTTGAAAAATTTAGGTTGGGGGGGGGGGAGATGGTAAGCCGGTCCGGCCCTTTCAATCCTCCACTGGGAATGTTTTGGTACAGAGAAATAGCATAGGCCTTTGTCACTGTTGATAAGCCTACTCTAAAAGCAGTCTAATATAATTATTCTTGGAATACACAGTCTATTGACGTCACCATAATACCTACCTAGATATTATAATCGAAGGATTGAATGTGGTTATATTAGATTTAACACCTGCATCTTCTCGAAATTCGTTAATTGGTGGAGCATTGCATCTGAAATAACAAAAAATACCTTGTGCATTATTAATACGTTTCAAGAATGGTTCAGTCATATTTTATCCTTTATTTATCAAATGATTTTCCGATAAGCCTACTTGTATTTTTATCTGATGATAGGACTTACTTTTACTTAAATTGTCTGTTGTTTTTTCATGCAGTATGTTCTTATAAAACGTTTGCTTTTCAAATTAAACAAAAAACTATCTTACAATAGTGTACCGTGTTATATGAAATGATTATAATTGATCTGAGTAAAATGATAGGTCAATCAACCGACGCAATAGACTATTATGCACGTAAAACTTAACATTGTATATATTAATAATCAAATTTTTTTCTCTCCGTTGTGATACGACAACCACTTTTATTCATCATACATCAATTACATTAGTGAATAGCCCACAGAACAATTAAACTGCATTACTATTATGTTTCGATAATGTATGTTTTAACTTTTTCTTAGTTTTCTTGACTTTCATATAAAAAATGAAATAAATTAAATGCTATCGTATAACTATCATCATAACAATTTTTGCTTTCAAATATGTTAAATACAATTCTTTTTAAATGAGAAAACAGGCCTATTATTCACAACAATCAATGCAAAAGAGGATATTTATATAATTTAAATAAAATTCATATACATACTCAACATAATATATTCGCCTTGTTTTGTGGTCATGAATAACGTTTATCTTATCTTATGATACATTATTTATGTAATCTAAAATGTAACCAACCTAATCACAAAATCGGCCCTGTCAATTGCATTACCACATTTACTTTTACTCAATATTCCTCCATTTCCCACAATAGAACACCTTTTATGCAAACGTTGAATAGGAGATACCTGGTAGAAAGAATCAATGAGTAAAGCTTTGTCGGCTATCAAATTTACATGCCCATATATAGTCATGATGTGCCTATATGATCATGATATGATGTCATCATGACCATATTTAAGCATGTCACATGTTCTTGTCAAATGAAATTTGATAGCCTCAAGAAGCCTAAAGCACTGTCCACACTATCAAATTTTCTTTGATGAAAAACTGCTGTATGCCCATATATAGTCGTGATGTGCCTATAAATGGTCATGATATGATGTCATCATGACCATATTTAGGCATGTCACATGTTTTTGTCAAATAAAATTTGATAGTCTGGACAGGGCCTTACATTATTAAAAATAATACTCAGTGTTGGATTGATGGGATGACAAAAGGGGAGTTCTCTTTCCTCGACAGTAATCTAAATATGTCTAGTATGTTTAAACTAGATAAAAGATTAAAATGCTAAAACTCCAAAGCATTCAGATGGTATAGCGCCATCATAAGTAGGAAAACCCCAATGCTCTTAATCTTACCCCAACCCCATCACTCCTTCCAGATAAAACATCCCAAGTGTGACATTAATAACATTAGATAAGAGATACATGGTTAAAACTCAGAAGCATTCAAATGATGTAGCCAACTGTACCACCAAAAATATGTAGGAAAACACCCTAATCCTCACCACTCAGACCATAGGACTTAAATTTGCACTTTGCACACCCCCTCACCCCCCACCTTTTTTGCTAGCCAACCAACTCTACATTGTTGGGCGTCAGATTTAATATTGCATTCGCCTTCGCCACTACTTGTCACTGCGTGAGGCGCCAGGAGGAATAGGAAGTTTGTCCCCTCATTATACGTACTTTACTTAATTAAAAAAGAAAAACCTTTGCAATTTGTTTGATTTCAAATGCTAAATTACCTAGCTTAGGCCTACAATGGGATACAATGTCATTGAGTTGGTACGAGCTATTTATAGAAAAAATATTGAGTAAAAATGCAATGCCCGTACTTGCTGCAATGCTACAGTTAGCTTGCCTTATTTGCATAACATTTCCCCTGATTAAACTGTGGGAAGCATGGAAGAATCTTCACAGAATATATGTGTATGTTTTGTATAGGTTATGTACATGGTTTTAACAATTATTTTCTGGACAAAAACAGTCTGTTACGCTAATTTCGGTGCTAATGACACGGTTTTTGGTAAAGCTTTTTATATGTTATAAATTCAACCCAAACATGACATTTTTGCATCTGTATTTTATTATTTAATTAATCATTTATTGAATTGTACTTTTTTTGTGTAGTGGTGTGGATAGAAAGGATGCCAAGCTGAATTAGAGAAATATATTTTTTAACAACAACAACAAAAATAATCCAATCAATAATCCAACATAACATATTGTTCCCCCACTGCTAGCTTTTGTGTTGCAGCAAGGCAAAATACATGAGAACGATAAATTACAAAATTACAATAGGAGAGTGAGTCACACTGCATAAACAATGTATGTGACCACAGAAAAGTCATTATTATGACAACGGTGAAGCTATGTATATGATAATCTCTATACTATTACCAGCATTTCCCTGTAGAAAAAATATAGTAAAAAAAGTAGCAAATGTAAACAAAATATCATTTATTGAATTGTACTGTTTGTGTAGTGGTGTGGATGGAAAGGATGCCAAGCTGAATTAGAGAAATCTACTTTTTAACACAAAAAAATAAATAGGCCTATGCTTCTCTGGTCAATAATCCGACTTATACAACTGTTAAATAATATTATAATATAACTATATTTATTATTAATATTAATAATTTTACCTCTGGCAACGTGTTGTGAAATTTCTTACTGATTGTTGCTGTCTGCTTCCTTAACGAGTATGTAATTTTTTGGAATGGTCGGATATATTTTTTCGTAAGAATCATCTCAGAACGGATTGACCTCGCAATATCCTCTCTATTAAGAGAAAAATGTTTTCATTAACCAGTTAATAACATGGATTTTGATTCTGCTTTTATTTTCATTTTTTTCATTATTCCAAATTGGGAATTAGAAATTTTGGTTGGGGCTGGACAGTGGTGGTGCCAGCGGAACGGCAGCGAGGGCATTTGACCTTCCGTCGGACAGGCCTGGGCCCCCGTCGTCCGTCCCTGCAACGAGGTCGTTAGACCAAAAACAAAAATGTGCCTAAAAAAAGTTATTTTGATTGCCAATTCCATTTATTGCCTTAAAAAGCCAAAAAAAATTACTATCCCGAGAATCCTACTATGGATTATATTCCGGTGCCCCGACCGAGGATCTTAGTCGGCCCCTTGGTTCGGCCCCTCCTGTCGGACTCCTTTCGGCAGCGTCAGTACAACATGCCCCCTATCTCGCCTAACTTGTAAAGCTGATCAACTTCAATTAAAATCCAATTTGAACCGAGGTCTTCAGCACAAGAAGCAGGAAGGTTACCTCTCGGCCAAACGCACAGTTCTATAGAGATACGATAGTATAATACAGTACATAATCAAAGTATCAAAATGCACACCATCGTGTTGGGATTCAATATTTCGACATTAATTATGTCATCATCAGGAATAGATATACTATAGAGATACTATATACTGTTATCAGAGCTCCCAAGTCTACAGGATTGCCCTGGATGGTTGGATGACCAGAGTGACCAGAATAACACTTATTCTGGTCACTCTGTTCATCCAACAATAAAGTCTTTAATACGTATTTACGTAGAAGGATTGCATGTTGTTCGATCAGTGAGTTTGGTTCTAGCAATTCTCATTGTATAGGCAGTGTGGCGCCAATGGGGGGAGGGCAGGGGGAATTTTCCCCCAATCGGAGAGGCCTGGATCCCCACCAGTTCAGGCCACTGTTCCCTGATAGGAATTGGACTCAGAACCTTGGACTGAAAGTAAATCATTTTAACACAATACAACAGTTGTTACCTTAGCAGGGACACTTTTGTGGTGTTTAGTTTCCACGGTTTCTGTAACAAAGCAGCGATTTCGTGGATATTCTGTACTTTCGATGAGATGCCAATAATGGATTCATTTACGTAGTACTCCCTATCTTGTTCTATTCCAGATGAATAGTTGTCTCTCGTAAAGTTTGTAAGCTTCGGTATAGATTTGATTTGATGTAAAAATGAACCACTTTCCTCCATAACATTAACAAACTTAGGCCTACTCCTACTAAACGTCAACTGGTAAAATTGCCACCTTGATGATAGAAGAGGAAATAAAGATATTTTTTTTTAAGGTATATACTATACAGTATATACTATACAGTATTTCTACAGGCTCACTTTACATAATTCAGAATAAGCAATTAGTAGAGCTCCGCATAGTACACTATAGGAAAATTATTATACAAAGGTTAGATTTAATGCTTAAAAAAATTTCCTGAGGGCCTGAAGGCCCGAATTGAAGCGTCCACTAATTGAAGCGTCCAGTAATTGAAAAATTAGCGGACGGTGGGGAATAGGCAAATAACATTGGGAGTTGCAGTGATGACGTCATGATTGACTTATAATATACATTAAAGGTAAATCCTTGTCCAGACTATCAAATTTTATTTCTAACATGCCTAAATATGGTCATGACATAACATTATGACCATATATGGGTATACAACAGTATTTTGTCAAATATATATATATATATATGTATATATATATGTATATATATGTATGTAGGAAACGAATACCATGTATAGACAAAACTAATATTTCAACCTATCCTCAGGTCTTTATCAAGTACCTTGATAAAGACCTGAGGATAGGTCGAAATATTGGTTTTCTCCAATAAAGTGTTTCTGAAGTCTATAGATGGTATTCGTTTCCTATATTCTTTTGTTATCGTACCGAAACACACGTGGAACCTCACAATGTTGTATATGTATGTATGTATACTTCAAATAAAACCGCTGCTTATTAGCACTTGGAACACAAATAGGCCTAATGAAATCAAATCGATACAATGTTCAAACACTGAATATAGGAACATGATGTTATAAGTATCAAACATAGTTCATCAACGAAAGTTCCTTATTATAGTTATTATGAGGTCTCTGTTGGAATCAAACCCACAATCTCTTACAATCTCCGTGAGCGTAATACCGTTCAGACCAGAAGCCCGTTCGATATCATTTACAGATCAAGATCATTAGTCTCTGTACTTTCATAACTTGACGGCTCACACATAGTGGAGCCAATATACCTGTACATACTATACATTTAAATAAGAAATAGTTTATCTTACCATACTGATAATGTAAGTGCAAAAATAAGACACATTAGAAGATGACGTGACTTCATTCTTGACCAAAACTGGAAACAAATATCAGACAGTTATTATTACTGTACAGTTAAATTTTATAAACTTGTAGGGTCGTATTTGGGGGAAAAGAGCAAGTTTATAATACTTGTGCTCAATAGTTAGGCTTACTGTATGTCATATCAAGAAGGGATTTCCTCTTCCAACTTAGTGAACCCGGATGTCTCAGTGGTTGTGTTTTCGATGACAACATATTCATCGAACAACTATCATTTTATTTTGTTATGTTTTATTTTATTTGTTCACACGGGCCAGATTTAATGGTTCCACGGGACAAATTTGGCCCGCCAGATGCCAAACGCCTTTTCCACGAATCGGGTGATGACAAACAACCCAAGTCAGTGGTGCTAACCAACAAAAATAAGATCAGCTTTGAGGTTGAATTCTTGTCCTCATGTTATCTAAAAATTAATAACTTTATAACAGAGGGTTGTATGACATTAATTTTTTCTGGAAAATGGTCTCAAAAGACTATTCTACACCACTAACTGTTATATGAACTTTCGTACTGTTACTGTTTCAGGTACCGATATATACAAAGTACAAGTTATGTTTTATAAAGAAGCATAGTACAGTAAATTGTGTTTTTAACACAGGAAACTCTCATAATTAAAACAATGCTAGTCTAGAGTACTACAAGTACTACTGCACTGTAATGCATGCCTATTTTAATACACTACTTTAGATAGGCTTTTCTTTTTCCATTTTGATTTAAGAGGTCAAAAACATTTTCCATTTAAAAAAAAAATTATATATTGGTGTAGATTAGTCTTTTCAGTGGTGTGTAACCAACAGAAATATGATAATATAAGCTTTGAGGCTGAATTCTTTTCCTCATGTTATCTAAAAATTCATGGAGTTTACACAAATAAACATTCATGATTTTATGAATATACTAGACAAAACGAGTTATTAGTTCAAAATTCAAAAGACACCGTTTTCGTAAAGAGGTCACCCACACTTAGCCTATTGGTTTGATACTTACTATTACTTTGATACTAAGTCTTGAATCTACGGTGCAATAATATTCGATTTCTAGAGATATTTTGCTACGAAGTTTTAAGCATACTTAAAATAAAATTATAGCTGCTTCTTCCTGTCTGACAAACCACCACAGCAAAACCTGTGCGGTGGTGGGTGGATAAATTACCAAGTCGCTACTACTACAATCGTAAAATAATAGACCAGTAAAATGTTAGTATACTTACTGTTAGCGTTAAGTCAAGTACTCTTATCACAAGTACAGCCTCTCTTATTAGTTCACAAATATTCCACAATAATTGATCATAAACGAAAGGACAACAGATGAAACCATCTACCTTCTCTGGGTCATTATAATAGTCTTTTGTAGCTTGAGCTGCGCATGTCCAGTGTCAGTCAACGTTTAAACAAACGTATAACCATAGATGAAACCTATACCTCCATGCATATGTATTAAAGTATTGGCCCTATTGTGTTTATGTGAACAAAAGAAATGGAAATTATGTCTTGCGATCGTGTAAATTCCAACGTTCTTACACGCAATATATTCATGACTGCTTGTTGTTAGGATATCCTCTATCCTCCATGATTTGATGCTCGAGAAGTGAGCTCCTCCCACTTCTAAAAAGTTGAGCGCGCACGTTTAAATAGGTTCGTCTTGCCAGAGACTATTGCCAGTGGTGCTACCACTTGTCCACAGGTTCATTGAACCTGGGCCGCCGAAAGCTTCAGAGGCCTCCGATCTATAATAAAACAAATCTAATAGACGGGCTAATAAAGCAATGTTCTATTACTTGTTTACTTGTATCCCAAGATAGTCTTCTACAGTCTGATCCTCCTGGGTATAGAGGCCAAGCAAAACGATCTTATAGGCCCCTCGAAAAAAACAGTATATTAAAATTTAACATATATATTTAGCAAATTTGAGCGGATGGTCAGCCAAACGTACTTCGATCGCAGATTTAAATAAATTAATAGAACTAGAGTTAACATCTTCATTCGATAAGGAATTCCACAGCCGAACTGACCTAAATGAAAAAGCACGACTTCTAATAAGTGTCTTACAGTGCTGATGTTTAATCTTGAAGGAGTGACCTCTAGTTCTAGCACCTTTATCAAACTCAAAAAATAAATCACCCAAAACCCTATCAATTCCATGGAGAATTTTAAAAAGCTGTAAAATATCCGATCTCTGTCTACGAAATGCTAGAGTTGGAAGATTAAAAAATTTAAGCAACTTCGTACGGAAAATCCCAATTACCTCCAAAAACATCTTAGTTGCTCGTTGTTGAACTTTCTCTAAGGAATCTGCCTCTCTCTTATAAATTGGGTTATAGACTACACTACAGTATTCTAAAGTTGGTCTCACAATAGACTTATACAGTTTCAATAAACCTTTTTTCTTCAAAAATCTAAAAGACCGTTTTATCATGCCCAATTTCATGTTAGCTTTCTTACAAATATCGGCAACATGCATTCTAAAATTAAGACTGGAATCAAAGGTAACTCCTAAATCCTTTATACTGTCAACTGCCTGAATTTCAGTATCAAACATAAAATAGGAACATTTTGGATTATTTCTTCCAACTTTACATTTGTCACTATTAAATTAAATTCCATTTTCGAGACCACTCACATAAGGCATTAATATCTTCCTGAAGACGGAATCTATCATCAACCGAGTCTACAACTCTAAAAAGCTTTGTATCATCTGCGAACTTACGGAAGAGTCAGATACTAAAGGTAAATCATTGATAAAAATAGTAAACAAAATTGGACCCAAAACAGAACCCTGTGGGATACCACTTAGCAC